AACAAAAGTGAGTACATCCCTAAGTGACAATGTCCAAATTGGGCCCAATTAGCCATTTTCCCTCCCCAGTGTCATGTGACTCATTAGTGTTACAAGATCTCAGGTGTGAATGGGGAGCAGGTGTGGTAAATTTGGTGTTATCGCTCTCACTCTCTCATATTGGTCACTGGAAGTTCAATATGGCACCTCATGGCAAAGAACTCTCTGAGAATCTGAAAAAAAGAATTGTTGCTCTACATAAAGATGGCCTCGGCTATAAGAAGATCGCCAAGACCCTGAAACTGAGCTGCAGCAGGTGGCCAAGACCATACAGTGGTTTAACAGGATAGGTTCCACTCAGAACAGGCCTCACCATGGTCGACCAAAGGAGTTGAGTGCACATGCTCAGCGTCATATCCAGAGGTTGTCTTTGGGAAATAGACATATGGGTGCTGCCAGCATTGCTGCAGAGGTTGAAGGGGTGGGGGGGTCAGGCTGTCAGTGCTCAGACCATACGCCACACACTGCATCAAATTGGTCTGCATGGCTGTCGTCCCAGAAGGAAGCCTCTTCTAAAGATGATGCACAAGAAATTCAGTTTGCTGAAGACAAGCAGACTAAGGACATGGATTACTGGAACCATGTCCAGTGGTCTGATGAGACCAAGGTAAACTTATTTGGTTCAGATGGTGCCAAGCGTGTGTGGCGGCAACCAGGTGAGGAGTACAAAGACAAGTGTGTCTTGCCTACAGTCAAGCATTGTGGTGGGAGTGTCATGGTTTGGAGCTGCATGAGTGCTGCCAGCACTGGGGAGCTACAGTTCATTGAGGGAACCATGAATGCCAACATGTACTATGACATACTGAAGCAGAGCATGATCTCCTCCCTTGGGAGACTGAGCCACAGGGCAGTATTCTAACATGATAACGACCCCAAACACACCTCCAAAATGACCACTGCCTTGCTAAAGAAGTTGAGGGCAAAGGTGATGGACTAGCCAAGAGTGTCTCCAGACCTAAACCCTATTGAGCATCTGTGGGGCATCCTCAAATGGAAGTGGAGGAGTGCAAGGTCTCTAACATCCACCAGCTCCGTGATGTTGTCATGGAGGAGTGGAAGAGGACTCCAATGGCAACCTGTGAAGCTCTGGTGAACTCCATGCCCAAGAGGGTTAAGGCAGTGCTGGAAAATAATGGTGGTCACACAAAATATTGACACTTTGGGCCCAATTTGGACATTTTCACTTTGGGGTGTACTCACGTTTGTTGCCAGCGGTTTAGACATTAATGGCTGTGTGTTGAGTAACTTTGAGGGGACAGCAAATTTACACGGTTATACATGCTGTGCACTCACTACATTACATTGTAGCAAAGTGTCATTTCTTCAGTGTTGTCACATGAAAAGATAGAATAAAATATTTACAAAAATGTGAGGGGGTGTACTCACTTCTGTGAGATACTGTAAGTATTCACAGCCTTTGCCATGACACTCAGAATTGAGCTCTGGTGCATCCTGTTCCCACTGATCATCCTTGAGATGTTTCCACAAATTGACTAGAAATTCAGTTGATTGGACATGATTAAGAAAGGCATAAACCTGTCTATATAAGGTCCCACAGTTAACAGTGCATGTCAGAGCACAAACCAAGCCATGAAGTCCAAGGAATTGTCCGTAGGCCTCCAAGGCAGGATTGTATCAAGGCACAGATCTGGGGAAGGGTACAGAAGCATTTCTGTAACACTGAAGGTTCCAATGAGCACAGAGGCCTCCATCATCCGTAAATGGAAGAAGTTTGGAACCACTAGGAATCTTCCTAGAGCGGGCCGCCTGGCCAAAATGAGCGATCGAGGGAGAAAGGCCTTAGTCAGGGAGGTAATTAAGCACCCAGTGGTCACTCTGAAAGAGCTCCAGTGTTTCTCTGTGGAGAGAGGAGAACCTTCCAGAAGAACAACCATTTCTGCAGCACTCCACCAATCAGGCCTGTATGGTAGTGTGGCCAGCCGGAAGCCACTCCTCAGTAAAAGGCAAATGGCGGCCTGCCTGGAGTTTGCCAAAAGGCATCTGAGGGACTCTCAGACCGTGAGAAACAAAACTGTCTGGTCTGATGAAACAAAGATTGAACTCTTTGGCCTGAATGCCAAGCGTTGTGTCTGGAGGAAACCAGGCACCACTCACCACCTGGCCAATACCATCCCTACAGTGAAGCATGGTGGTGGCAACATCATGCTGTGGGGATGTTTTTCAGTGGCAGGAACTGGGAGACCAGTCAGGATCAAAGGAAAGATGAATGCAGCAATGTACAGAGACATCCTTGATGAAAACCTGTTCCAGAGCGCTCTGGACCTTAGTCTGGGGCCACAGTTCATCTTTCAACAGGACAACAACCCTAAGCACACAGTCCACATAACAAAGGAGTGGCTACAGGCAAACTCTGTGAATGTCCTGGAGTGGCCCAGCCAGAGCCCATACTTGAACCTGATTAAACATCTCTGGAGAGATCCGAAAATGGCTGTGCACCGACGCTCCCCATCCAACCCAATGGAGCTTGAGAGGTACTGCAAAGAAGAATGGGAGAAATTGCCCAAATATAGATGTGCCAAGCTTGTAGCATCAAACTCAAAATGGCTGTAATTGGTTCTAAAGATGCTTAAACAAATTATTGAGCAAAGGCTGTGAATACATATGTACATGTGTTTTTTTTTTCGTTTTTTATTTTTAATAAATAAGATTTCAAAATGAACTTCTTTCACGTTGTCATTATTGGGAATTGTTTTTAGGATGTTGAGGAAAATATGTAATTTAATCTATTTTAGAATAAGGCTGTAACATAACAATATGTGGGAAAAGTTAAGCACTGTGAATGCTTTCTGGATGCACTGTGTATCTTGTTGAGCAGTTAATTTCAGCATACTGTAAATCCTAGTCGACATTGCAATCTTTGACCACATTTTTTGCTGCTGCCACATGAGAGCTTATCAACCCATGATTTTATGCCTTCCATCCTTCCAGACAGGAAGATTTTTTTCCACAATACACAACATTTTTACATTTTTTTCACTGCTTCCTCATTTAGGGGATTAGGTGATCTGCAGCTCTGCTGGAAAAAACTCACTGGCATAGAAAGCTCTTGGATGATCATGTCCATACAGTTATACATTAAAGTAAACCTAAACAATATTATATAAGACACTGTGCTGATCCAAACATTCAAAACATGACATTGTAATTCATAAAATTAAACACTGTAGCTCAATATTCACTTGGCCCCATCACTACATGGCCACTGTTGTCCTCTTTTTGAAAACTCCAGTTGCATGGCTTCTGTGGTGGTCAGCTGAATATAAGGAGTATGACATATGAAGATCAGGAATGTCATAGAAAAATCAGAAGTCCTTATGTGTATTCTCAGTCCAGACCAGGTACTTAATAGTACCTGGTCAAAGAACGCTCAATCATGTGCAAGAAGTAAAAAACAAAACTATTTTTGTTTGCATATGATTAGATGATGAGGGTAAGCAGAGCTTCAAATCATTGTACAAGCTTAGAGAAAATTCCCTTGCAAAGTGAATAGCCTATTTGGCTTTATGTATAAAAGAAAGAGTATCAGAATGGTAACTATGCAGCTCGTATTTTTAGAAGTCAGCAAAGGAAGCCTCTATGTTTCTCTTACAACAGGTTGGGCCTGTTTAGCTTCAAGGTTCATTTTTTAATGGATGCTAGCTGGTTAGATCATCTGTCCTATGCTTGTATATCTCAGGGACTCTGGCTGTCTGTTCACTTGAAACACTTATTGTTAAGGGGTCTTATTGCTGGATTTTGTAAATGTGGAATGTAAAGGAGAGGAAGTGGGTGTCTACAAATGTGCTAGGTTACTAGAAACTTCACTATGGAGACCTTTTATTCCAGTGGCCAAGAGATGAAAAAACTAAGCTGGACATTTGAAGGACCAGTGTCCATCTAACATTGAACCCATCACCTTTGAGTGACACTTTGCATGTAAGAAATAGCTGGTTCTAATAGTGATAGAAAAAAAAAGCTTCAATTATTTTTTTGTGTGGACACTGCAACATCAGGGACCAAGAAAGGGAGTGAGGTTTGCTGATATAATCCATTTTCTCTGGTGATGCTATAACAACTGTGCTAAAAGGCTTAGCATTTTCTGTTGCTACTGAACTGCTCTCTGGCTCTGGCTGCTCTTTGGGATTTGCTTCTAACGTGCATGTCTTTTTTTCTTTTTTTCATTCTTTGGTCCACATTGTTGGCTGCTATCTTTCCTTCCATTTGACCCTACGCACCCATAATTGACCACGCCGATACCTTCCTCCGCCCATGGCTGCTTGGCTCTTATATATTCATGTGTGTTTGATCTGCAATCTTTTAATCTGTGTGCATGTGTTACCTTTTCTTCTGCATATATGTATTGCTGGAATCATGCTTCCTTTCAAATGGCATTCATTCTCTGGCAATTATTACTCTCTGCCACTCTACATTTCTTAATGAATCATTCCTCATCTTGCTTTGTGTGTTTTCTGTCCCCTATCTCATTCTGTGACCCTGTATTCTTATTATGTGCTTTTCAATATCCACTTGACTTACTATTCCCTCTATTATTGATGTATTATTCCTTGTTGGGTTCTCTGCTATCCTACTTTCTTCTCTATCTTTCTATTTGCCTGTTTCCTTTGTTTTCCTTACTGCTTTTTCACTCACAGCCAATAAGGAGGTTTTTTGCCCTCCCCCAGCCCCCTACCCCACCCTCTTCTCCTCACCCCACTAAGACCTCTGATTCTTCAGGGCATAATGATTGCCCTCTTGCTCATCCCAAAACCCATACCTTCCCACCTAAGCCCAGGTCTTCAGAGAAACCGCTTCAGACCACCCGGTCCAACCCACTACCTGCCACAAACTCCCCAACTGTCCCCCCGCGGGCTCCTAATTCTCCCGCTGGGCACAATGCTTGCCGAACAGCAACCAAACTGCCCGCATCTGATCTGGCCCCCAAATCTGTACCCCTTATACAGGTTACCCCTCATCCGTCACCCCGTGGCAGCCCCCTCCCTACTCCCAAGGGAACACCTGTGCACACGCCTAAGGAAAGTCCAGCAGGCACCCCTTCACCAACCCCACCATCGAGCCCAAGCATTGGTGGGATGCCATGGAGAACAAGACTGAACTCTATCAAGAATAATTTCCTGGGGTCACCAAGATTCCATCGTCGCAAGCTGCAAGGTAAGAGAGCGTTATTAAAATATCAGGATACATTGGGTATGGGATGGTGACTATTTACTCTACATAAGAATAGAATTTGTACAAAATTAAGTAGAGCAAACAGTGCTTTGTTTACAACCTCTATAAAAACTGTTATTATGCCACTGTTCTCAATTGCTGGTCTGAAGTAAAATAGGTAAATATAATGACCATTGTGCCATAACAGCACTCATTTGTCATTGAGACAGAATTTAGTTTGTGATTTGTCTGTACAAGACTGAGAAGAAAAAAAATTAAATACATAATGGGTCTTAGATGATATTATTTTTTTTATTAATAACAATCTATTAATATGTGTTCAGTTCCCACAGCTGATGAAATGACCAACTTGACACCGGAGTCATCTCCAGAGTAAGTATTTTGGTACCTCAAATTCTCCATAGGTAATGCTTTAAAGGTCTTGGCAAGATACCAGATTAGAGTTAAACGTCAGCTCTGGTGCTAGAAATATTGCTCTCATTCTGACATTTGCAGTGATACATCATATGTGTAGTGCAATCACCGTTTAATGCACGTGGGACCTATGTGCATGTTCACATTTTTGCATGCTATTACAAGGGATGAATAATATGGGCAGTGACAGGTACTTTTTATTGAGAGATCTGGGGTCTGTTAGACCCCGGGTCTCTCCTCTGCCCTCCAAGGCAGCTGATCAAACAAAGATCGGTTTCATCGGCTGCCTGTCTGGCTGGTACAAGCCAGTAAACACACAACCATACAGAAAAATGGTGTAATACAAGTCACTTCATTCATCACAGAAGAAAGGGAGGAATGGATATTTTTCCCTGTTCTCTGTCTGCAGCCAATCTGACCGAGTGTAGCGGTCCCAGGCACCCCAGTGGATTGGGACAGCTTGGGAATGGCGGTGTATATGGGGAGGACCTTTCCACACCCTATAAAAGTGATCGGGCAGCTGTAGAGCCGCTCAGATCACTTTTACATGAAAGCCCATTGCCAGCTGCAAACCTTGATAGCAGGATCATGGCTAAATTTAAATGGTTAAATCACAAAAGAAAGTAAATCTTACTTGTCAATGTGTCTTGAGTAAGAGTCACATAAAGCAGAAAGCTCAATTCATCATGGTTCAAAGTATGTATGGGATATGAAGTTCTTTGTTCTATCTTCCCTGGTGCTGTTTAAGGCTAGCTCTGAGATTGGACAGGACATTTTCTCCTACCTCCAACAATACCGGTGCCTGACTGGACAAACAGTACTTTTAAAGTTTCACAAGAAATGTGGGGGGGGGGGTTGGCAGCGGGCAAGTGATTTTAGACAGAGAAAAGTGTTGTTTGACAAAACAGTCATCTCCTTGCTAGCTGCATTGTCAGACATCCATGGAGAAAGGAGGGGTGTTCAGCTGTCCAACCTCATACAGTAGCTAACATTAGACAGTACATAGGAAAAAGGGACAAAGAACTAATGTACTTAATTTCCTGAGGAACAGGAGAGATTGCCAAAATGTTGAGACTTTTACTTTTTTTTTCTTAAATCAGATCCTTTTTTTATTGAAAATTAAGTCTAAACATACTCACACTTATACATATACAGACACCAATGTTAAGTCAATACAGCATTGGGCCAAATTGCCCCATATGGCAAAACATTAAAAAGTGAGCATAAATAAAGAAATTGAACTTAACTTTCTGCTTCCAGACGATGTAGAAAACTGAAAATATATAGGTGTTCACAGTAAGTTTGTAGGATATAGCATGAGCATAGACACATATAAAAACAAAAATAAAAAGACAGGAAAAATCCACTTTAGACTAAACTAAACTTTGGTGAACAAGCTGCCTTGATGTGTCCATTTTCACTGAATAAAATAAAGGTAGACTCGACTTATGAACTGCCCCAATGCACGTCTAATATCTCATGAAATGAGAAATGTGAGTTTGGGGTATTTATAGTGATGTTTGACTATGGCCATGCATATCTGTTCAACAGGCAATATGCTATGAGGTAAGGATCGGGAGCATTATCATATCAAACCAGAGAAGACTCCCCTGCTTAGTATTCTATCCCTGACTAATTGGAGTGGTGCTAGACTAGGTGTGCCCAGCCATGAGTCCCAAATATTTGTAAATTTCCTCGGGCAACTCCTATGTTTAAAAAAAATTTCTCTGTAATTAAAGTGTCATTGACAGCCTTAATCTTAAGCCATGCCATATGAGAATGGGGTGTGGGAGATAACCATCTCTGGGCTATACGTTTCTGGGCAATAAATAGCACTCGAAAAAACTACGATATACATATGTGGAGTATATAGTTCCTCATCTAGCTCACTCAATAAACAAATCTTAGGGTCCAAGGGGAGAGTGAGGTTCCAAATTCTATTGATCATTTTGACAATGGACGTCCAATACATTGTCAATTTAGGGCACTTCCATAACATATGGAGGAGGGTGCCTTTGTCTATTTCACACCTGGCACAAAGTGGGGAGTCCCCCCTGTGTCAGACATGTAGTCTTTGAGGAGTACGGTGAATGATAAAAATCTAGGTAAGCTTTTGGGCTGGTGATAGAGAAACATTAACCACTTGCCTACCGGACACTTTTACCCTTTTCCCACCCAGGCCAATCTTCAGCTTTCAGCGCTGTCGCACTTTGAACGACAATTGCACGGTCATGTAACACTGTACCGAAACAAAATTTTTATCATTTTTTTTGAGACAGATAGAGCTTTCTTTTGGTGGTATTTATTCACCACCAGGTTTTTTATTTTTTTTTAAACAAACTAAAAAAGACTGAAAATTAAAAAAAAGTTTTGTAAATAAGTAATTTTTCTCCTTCGCTGATGTGCGCTAATGAGGCTGCACTGATGGGCATTGATTGGCTGCACTGATGGGCATTGATAGGCAGCACTGATGAGGAGGCACTGGTAGGTGGTACTGATGGGCATTGACAGGCATCACTTGTGGGCATTGACAGGTATCACTGATGGGCACTGAAAGACCACACTCGTATATGGCACTGATAGGCAGCACTGACTGGCACTGATAGGCAGCACTGACTGGCACTGATAGGCAGCACTTATTGGAACTGTTAGGCGGCACTGATAGGCAGCACTAACTGGCACTGATAGGTGGCACTGATAGGCAACATTGATTGGCACTGATAGGCGGCACTGTCTGGTACTGATAGTTGGCACTGAAAGGCAGCTCTGATGGGCATTGATATGTGGCATTGATGTGCACTGGTATGTGGCAATGATGGACACTGACAGGTGGCACTGATGGGGCTATACTGATCATCAGTGCCCTGATGATCAGTGTAGATGTCCCCTCCAAGGAATGCCGCTTACTGGCTCTCCTCTCCTCCTGTTTACATGTGATCAGCTGTGATTGGACGCAGCTGATCACATGACAGAGCCGACATCATCAGCTATTTATTCTGATCGGTGATCCGCTGTGTCCCAGGGACAATGTGCACCACCAATCGCCGCGCGCACGCGCAATTAAAGTGGGAGGACGTCATATGACGTCCTTCCAGAACGAGAGAACCGCTGCCCTCCCATTATTTCCTTATATGGCGAGCGGGAGGCGGTTAAGTACATTATCTAGTGAGGACCATTCCTCATCAAAGATAGTCCCTAAGTCAGTGACCCATTGTGTTCTACAGTTAAGAGACCATGCTTTAGAGACCCTTTGTATACAGGATACAGTGAGGATATTTGACCCTTCCTAGAGGATAAGGTAATAGTCTGAATGAGAACTGTAGGCTTAACAAGTAACCAAGTGGAAATTTTAGACTGTGCAGAGATGGCGTGCCTAAGTTGCAAATATTGAAAGAAGGAGTTATTGGGAAGACCACACTTAGTCTGCAAAGTCTGAAAGTCTTTCAGTAATTGGCCACGAGACTTCTACTTTATTATGGAAATCAGATTCACTTTCCAGTTGTCATTTTCAAGTGCAGGTTTGGATCAGATTTATGGCTACTAAGAAGTATTAACAATTTTTATCCGAGACTAGTCCCTTTAACAAAACTCACTTCATAAAACAGTGGTGCTCATGTCAAGGCCTGCTAACAATGCATGTTTTTTCCTTTTACAGACTATCAAAGAGATAACTAGTGATGTGTTCTTGTGCAGGTGACTAATAAATAAAGACAAGAAAACATGCATTAATAGTGGGCCTTGAGGACCAGACTGAACCTGGGCCTGAACAAGGACCCTGTCACAGTACTCGTAAACATTTTCTACCTTTCTGCTGCCAAACAATGATAGGATTTAATCACTGTTTGCTCAATAATTTCCCACCTGTTTCTGTCAATTTTTAAATTGGCTCTTTTCAAGTCTGGTGATGTTTTCAGTCCACCCAGTGCTCAAATTTCAAACAATTCAGCAGGAATCAGTTGAGATTTCGACCGTCTATGATGGCCTTTATCCAAATTGGCAGGATAAATACTTGACACGTAGATCCATCTAGCCTCAAAATGTCGATCTTTGGTGTATATATGTCAGTTTTCAACTGCTTGAGCAGGTTCGTACATTAACCTCCCTGGTGGTAATCCCAAGTGTGGCTCAGGGTTAATTTTCAGTACCAAAAGCGGTAACCTCGAGCCAAACTCGGGATTACACTGTAGTGTAATTTACCTTGTCCCTGCAATCCCCCAATGTCCTCCTGCTGTGTCCTCCGGCCGATGCAGGCATCCGTCTTCCGGGTTCCCTTCTCTGCGAGCGCCGTGATGCAGGGGGGTGGAACCAGCAGGAGATTCAAAAAAGTAAAAAAACATGGCATACACACAATACATTGTAATCTGTTAGGATTACATTACTGTTTCAAACCATTTTACCTCAGTTTTGTCCCTTGTGCTTTGTCCAGTGCCCTTCCTGCACTTTTAAATGCAAGAACTTCCTGTGCTAGGAATGGGGCCCTATTCACCAAGCTGCTGACACAAAACTCCTTACCAACCAAAGTGAATAAATATATATATAAAGTGCAGCGTTATCTCTAAATATACTAAATACATATAAATATAAAGTGCAAACTGACTATTAAAGTGCTCCAAATATTACCACAAGGTACTAAATTAATGTGCAAAATTGTGCATTTACAAAAAATTGTGCAACCCGTGTATTCCAAGTCATAAGGATAAAGTGCAATTAGTGACAATCTTAATCACTCCAACCATCTGTTAATATGATGATATGATAATAAATCCACAAAAAATGTATTATAATGTCCAAATGCAACAAAAAACTTTTTTCAATCTTCATGCATGTGTCACACGTGACCACACTGTGTGAATCCAAACTTTAGCCGTGATGGCCTCTCACCTCCTTGCCACGACCCTACAGGGTCAGCTCGCTTTTAAACAGGACACCAGTTTGATAGCTCACCAGGGCCTTCCTCGCCTCTTATACTCTATCAGCAGTCTCCTCCTCGGTTCATATATAAACACAAGAGAGACTCACATAGTGTAATCCTGTTTATTTTATAAAATAGATATGGAAAAGATTGCCCACTCACATTTGTATTCATCTCCTCACAAGCCTTCAATACCCCATGCTATAAATCTCCTGCATGGGTATTTAGATACAGGGATTTCAAATATGGCCGCCACGCCGGAAATGACGTCACCGCGCTCGGAGGATTCTGGGAGCGCGGTGACGTCATTTCCGGCGTGGCGGCCATATTTGAAATCCCTGTATCTAAATACCCATGCAGGAGATTTATAGCATGGGGTATTGAAGGCTTGTGAGGAGATGAATACAAATGTGAGTGGGCAATCTTTTCCATATCTATTTTATAAAAATAAACAGGATTACACTATGTGAGTCTCTCTTGTGTTTATATATGAACCGAGGAGGAGACTGCTGATAGAGTATAAGAGGCAAGGAAGGCCCTGGTGAGCTATCAAACTGGTGTCCTGTTTAAAAGCGAGCTGACCCTGTGGGGTCGTGGCAAGGAGGTGAGAGGCCATCACGGCTAAAGTTTGGATTCACACAGTGTGGTCTCGTGTGACACATGCATGAAGATTGAAAAAAGTTTTTTGTTGCATTTGGACATTATAATACATTTTTTGTGGATTTATTATCATATCATCATATTAACAGATGGTTGGAGTGATTAAGATTGTCACTAATTGCACTTTATCCGTATGATTTGCAATACACGGGTTGCACAATTTTTTGTAAATGCACAATTTTGTACTTCCTGCACTTTTACTGTTCTTTCTGCCTGGAAACGTGAGAACGTTCATGGCATCCAAAAAGCGTCCCTTTAGGTCAAAAGTGGTTTTAAAACCAGCTAGAGAACAGAGAGAGTAAATTAGAATCACTTGCAGAATTGAGCAATAGTGATTCGTGGGGAAATTCATCATCAGACACTGAAAGTGACGACAGCGACGATTCTGCGACTGAGCTCAGTGATGTGCGAACTTGGTCCTCTATTGACTGTGGTACCGGATGTTTACTAGACTCTTGTTTGGACAGATTTAAGTGAGTTATTTCTAAGAATTACAGACCAGCAATATAAAACAACACATTTCCATGCAAAACAATGTACCGCTTTGACATTCAAAAATATTGACATAATCAGACCGCCAGGGAGGTTAAAACTCAAAATCCAATTTAACAGATAGCTCCCTACCCTCCAAAAAAGTACAGCACATTGTAGGAACTTATTCTTTTGTGAGTTTGAACATGCAAGGCTTGCATATTCATGTGTCAGTTAAGAGATATCATTCTAGCTAATCATACAGTTGCAAGAAAAAGTATGTGAACCCCTTGGATTACATGGAGTTTTGCATGAATTGGGCATAAAATGTGCTCTGAACGTCATCTAAGTCACAACAATAGAAGAACACAGTCTGCTAAACATAATACTACACAAACATTAGATGTTGCCATGGTTTAATTGCACATAACATGTAAACATTCACAGTGCAGGGAGGAAAAAGTATGTGAGGCCCTAGCTTAATGACTTCTCCCAGAGCTAATTGGAGCCAGGAGTGAGCCAACCTTGACTCCAATCAGTGTGATGATATTGGATGTGTTGCTGACAGCTGTCCTGCCCTTAAAAAACACACCTGTTTTGGGTTTACTGGTTTCAAGAAGCACTGTCTGATGTGAACCATGCCTCACAGAAAAGAGCTCTCAGAAGACCTACGATCAAGAATTGTTGACTTGCATGGAGCTGGAAAGGGTTACAAAAGTATCTCCAAAAGCCTTGATGTTCATGTGTCCACGGTAAGACAGACTATCTACAAATGGAGAAAGTTTAGCACTGTTGCTACTCTCCCTAGGCATGGTCGTCCTGTAAAAATGACTGCAAGATCACAGCGCAGAATGCTGCATGAGGTAAAGAAGAATCCCAGAGTGTCAGCTAAAGACCTACAGAAATCTCTGGCACATGCTAACATTTTTGTTAACACATCTACAATAAGGAAAACATTAAACAAGAATGGAGTACATGGGAGGACACCACGGAGGAAGCCATTGCTGTCCAAAAAGAAGATTGCAGCACGTTTGAAGTTTGCAAAAGAGCACCTGGATGTTCACACAGCACTACTGGCAAAATATACTGTGGACAGATGAAACCAAGATTGAGTTGTTTGGGAAGAACACACAACACTATGTGTGGAGAAAAAAAGGCCCAGCACACCAACATCAAAACTTCAACCCCACTGTAAAACATGGCGGAGGGAGCATCACGGTTTGGGGCTGCTTTGCTGCCTCAGGGCCTGGACGGATTGTTGTCATTGATGGGAAAATGAATTCCAGAGGTTGTCAAGACATTTTGCAGGAAAACGTACGACCATCTGTCCGCCAACTGAAGCTCCGCAGAGGATGGGTGATGCAAGAGGACAATGACCCAAAGCATACAAGTAATTCAACAAAACAATGGCTGCAACAGCACAGAATACGCCTTCTGGAGTGGCCCAGTCAGAGTCCTGACCTCAACCCGATAGAAATGCTGTGGCATGACCTTAAGAGAACGATTTACACCAGACATCCCAAGAATATTGCTACACTGAAACAGTTTTGTGAAGAGGAGTGGTCCAAAATGACTCCAGATCATTGTGCAGGTCTGATCTGCAACTACAGGAAACGTTTGGTTTGAGGTTATTGCTGCCAAAGGAGGGTCAACCAGTTATTAAGTCCAAAGGTTCACATACTTTTTCCTCCCTGCACTATGAATGTTTACATGTTATGTGCAATTAAACCATTGGCAACATTTAATGTTTGTGTAGTATTATGTTCAGCAGACTGTGTTCTTCTATTGTTGTGACTTAGATGACGTTCAGAGCACATTTTATGCCCAATTCATGCAAAACTTCACGTAATCCCAAGGGGTTCACATACTTTTTCTTGCAACTGTACATTCTCTTGTCTGTTATTTCAGCCCTAAATTGAAAGAAATATAACAGTCAGCCTGGGAAAGACTCTGTCTCGGGGTCAGCAACCATTAGATCTCAATCTAGCAGTAGATCATGGCCAAGTGACTGGTAGATCATGATCTAGGCTTGACCCACTTTCACAGAGCATCAAACAGAGTACAATGCACAGGGACTACAGTTAGAGCTGTAGTAGGGAGCAAGAACTGCATAAATTGATGCCTCCTCTGTAGTGCTGGCTCCTGTCCCATGCAGAGTGATACCAACTGCACTCCACCTCTTATCCTGGCTTGTGGCCTCCAGAGTGGTGCCAGCATCAGAAGAGATCTTCAGGGCAGTGTGAAGCAATACACTGGGCATAATGGGCTTCTTTCACATTGATGCACTGCGGTTTACCCACTACGGGGACTAGTGCAGTGTACCTGCAGCTTTTCTGCGGGTTTGTTGCGCTTAGCCATAGACGACTGTTATATCCTATGGGTACACTACAGCAAACAAGGAGTCAAAGCACGCAGCATTGTGTTGCTCTCTCACCACCTGCTTTAACCCCTTGGACTTCGCAGAAGTATACAGTTGCAGGGCGCTTGCCGAGTGGCCCTATTTACTTGAATTTGTGTTGATTGGCAGGCAGTAGCACCCACCAAAAGCAACAGGGGGTTTAATTCATGCTGAGGCATGTGCACACCTTTTGGCTGCTGCCTCAACAGCTAAAGGGGAGTAGAGATTGGGGACGGAAAAACCGTGACGCAACCACAGAGTTTTTATCAACTTTACCCATGAACGAGCCCTAAGAGTGCTGCTTCCGAATGCAACTAAGGGTTCATTCGCAAGTACTGAAGACACTGTTGCTCCTCTGAAAAGTGATCCGAGTGTGTTTGACAGGCAATATGTCGCCTCCTCACCACCTGATTTAAACCCATGATTGCCGTGCAATGCACATGATTGCGACATGGTACTATGACAATTGTAGGTTTAAATGAGGAGGCAACACTGGGCGAAACTGTGCTCGGTGATCTTTGACTTCTCCCATGTTGCTCAGGTAGATCTCTACCTCTTTAAGGTTGCCTACCCCTGCTCTATCTGGTCCCTAAGGAGGAGGCAGGATCCAAACTGTGATTCCCATCACACTGAGCCTTTTAACCAGCAAGGCAATATGCTTCTCTTTACAATAATAAAAAAAACGAAAAAAAATTCTACTTGAGGAGAGACTCTCCTCTTTAGCAGAGGAGACCTGCTATGTCAATAAGCCAATATTAATACAAGCCAATACAACATAAGAATCCAAATCTGCAAATGACATTTATGTTTTTTGGAAACTTAAAACCATAATCAACATTACAATATTTTAGTATTGAAACCAGTATTGAAGGTTCAGCTTTAGGGTGTCCTCCTATTGATTATGGTTTTATGTTTTTAAACTTCTGAAAAACATGACTATTTTGTGCTGATCTTGGTTCCTTCATTATACTGAATAAAGCCTTTCTTTACGGGTCAGGCCCCCCTTATGCTTACTGCCAGTGATGTCATCAAATCTGGTGAAATTACATCATCACGTGGCATTATTGAGAAGACCATCTGAAAGACAAAAAATATTACATTTGGATTAGTATAACACAGATATATTAGTGTTCTATATGCAGTATATCCTTATGCTAAATTCCATCTTGGTTTTTTTTTTTTTTTGGATTTTAAAGTATACCTAATGGCAAAACATTTTTTTTTCTAGTTTTGGATGGAGTGGAGAAGGATTAGAACACCTGTCAGGTTTTTATTGCTGTCTGTGTCCCTGTTAAGGAGATTCAACCTCTTATTTGCCCTGCTTATCGTTACCATTGAATGTGAAGGTAAAAAAACCCCCCCACATTTTTGGGTTGTCTTTAGAAAAGTAATAGAGGTGAAATTTTCCAGTGGGGACCCTAGGGATAGTGACCTGGGGGTCCCCAAGGGATTCCCTTATTTGCAGAGATTTTCTCATTTCCTGTTTTGGCTATGGGACAGGAAGTGAAGGTAAATCTCCCCAATGGGACACAGATGGCAAAAAATAATCTGACAGGAGTTATAACCCTCCCTTATCCCTATCCAAACTGAAAGAAAAAAGTGTTGCCTATAGTTATACTTTAATTTTTCTTTATTTAGCATAGTTTTTTTTTATAATCATGGTTTCTGTTTTCTCCCCAGACTTGCGAAGAAGTCATGGTTTGGTAACTTCCTGACTCTGGAAAAGGAGGATCAGATCTTCGTGGTCATTAAAGACAAGCCTTTAAGTTCAATTAAAGCTGACATAGTACAAGCATTTCTCTCGGTAAGATTGTCACCTCCAAATTCAAGCCTGCTTTCCCCAAATTATTGTCAGGCTATAGTGAATATAAGGATGTATGGGTCAATGCCTTGGACAGCAGCATAAAATACAACAGCACCAAAGCAACATTTTTCAAGTTGAATGTACTTTACCCTCAGAGACTTTTAGGTAAATTAACAAGCAGTCGTGAACAGTGTGCGAATGTAAGGGCTACTGAGAGGAGTCGTAAGATTCCCTTTACCATTGTGGGCATGCAATCTGGCGTTTTTTTCAGGCTCTTCATTGGTGGACTGCTTATACAGCGGGGCTTTGGATAGCACATTCTGGTTTTATTATACAGGATAATTACATACGGTTGATGTCTAGAGCAGCATGAATTTAAACTTGACATTAAATGCTATAATTCCAACATGTCAATTATGACATTAAACCCAACAACTACTAACCAGCAGATGTTTTTGTATAGAAGAACCTGGCATTGTCTACATTTTTGTGTTATGTCTTCCCCACAGATCCCAAGCCTCAGTCACAGTGTGATCTCACAAACAAGTTTCAGAGCAGAGTACAAATCCACAGGAGGTCCATCTGTCTTCCAGAAGCCAGTGAAGTTTCAAGTGGATATTACATATACAGAAAGTGGGGAGAAGCAGAAGGACTGTGGGATATACTCAGTCACTTTTACTCTTCTATCAGGTATCATCTCCTATTTACATAAGACTTCCTAAATTTTCTCCTCCAACTTCCATGTTCTAGCCATGCAAACATTAGAATGCTGAGCTACAGAGGTGACCATATGTATGAGCACCTGGCCAACTGACTCTACAGTCTTCATCTGATTCAGCCATACATGGGAATCGTTAAGTCTCACTTCTTAAGACATTTTCAGCTAATCCAAACTTGCAGACTATACAGAGAAAAGAAGTAATTCTATGCAAGCTTTATATATGAACAAATACAGTGTTAGTGTGTTAACTTTTCCAGACTCTTGAATCAGTCTTGGAAGTTGTATGTGTTCCTTAACTCTCAATTATTGGCCAAGGGAAAAGGTCTAAAGCAAAAATTGGTTTTACCTAATCATCATCATGTATGGGCATTGCAACTCAGTGGCAGGTATATTGTCTGGGCTACTCCATAGTGGCTGTGTGAGACACAGGGACCATGGGTTAAGGAGGATCTTTAAGTTTAAGTGTGCAGAATTTTCAAAACTGCTTTAAACCAGAGGAAGCATGTACACATATGATATTACGGATAATTTTATATTGATTTCATGACCAGGCTGTAGTAAATGGTGCTTAGCTGAAAGAGGGGGTCTATAAAAATTTGCCCTGCAAATGTCTCAGCATTCACACAAAAGTCGCAAATAATATTTATAATGTTTGTAATATGTGTGACTATGGAATTCCTTTTAAAAATAAGTGGGCCCACTCACACACGTGAATGAGTAAAGAGTACAATGTAAATAGGAAGTAAACACACAGTTTTGGCCAAGTTCATTAATAAAAATATCCACATAAATCATGATGAACGATTTCCACCTACCCACTTTGATGTCACTTACCAAAAATGGTCATGTCCATAAATTGTCAATGATGTCACTAGGGAGACCCCACCCTTTTGTTTACATTGTTTACAATCAGGAGATGTCATATGGCAGGGGTGAAGCGACAGAACCATATGTGTGTGTTGGCATGTGTTAAGTTTTTTTTCTATTGGTGAGTCGCGGAGCGTCGCTCATTATGATTGATGTGGATCTGCAATGCTGACAGGATGCTTGCTTTTGATAAGCCCCATTTTTGGGGAAGAGGCCCTTGTCCTCATCAAAAGGTACCACCCCCACCCCCGCAGCCTGGATGCTCAGTTAAGGGTCTGGTATGGATTTAAGGAGGACCCCAAGCTTTTTTTTACAGTTTGTTTGCGGGGTTCCCCTTAAAATCCGCCCACTTCATTTTTTTTAAGTGACTTCTTTAAAACTCATACCAAACCTAAAAGGTCTGGTTTAAATCTTAGTGGGAACCCCATGCTGTTGTTTTCTTTCCCCACCCCTTTGTTGAATCACTGGCTGACAGCTGAATGTGTCCGGCAGGGATAAGTCTCTGGTTGTTGGGACGCAAGTAGTAGTAGGTATACAACCTCTAAATGTTTCACTTTCCACTGTAGCTGTAGGCTCGCTCCAGCCGAACACCAATTCACCCAGGAATCTCCATACACTGTTTACAGTACATAGTGCAAAATTCTCCCTCATATTATTTCATCTTCAGGTCAAATATTCTTAGTCTATACTGTTATTGCTATTTTCTCTGTTGGTTGAAAGTTTGTTAACTCTTTTGGTTGAATGCTCACTTTATTTTAGGATCGAAAATTAAAGAAGTACAGCCAAAGCTCTTCTGGTTGTACTTTTCCTGTGGATCACAGGAGTGCAGTTTGTTCTGCACTCCTGTGACCCATTTTCAGCTGACAGCGGGCTGAAGCCTGCTGTCGGCTGATGTCACTCAGCCGGTCCAGGCTGGGAAAAGATCCTGACTTTAAAGTCAGGATCCACCCCAGAGTTTGGAGTGGCACCTGTCTCAGCCTCTCAGCAATCTGCTGAGAGCCTGAGCCAGCTACTGCCTCCCCCTCCACAGCCCAGCGGTCCAGTGAGCACGGGGTGGGGGGAACAGAGCAGAGAGCAGTGACTGACAGTCCCCCTCACTGCTCAAAGTGGCTGTGAGAACTCTGTGACCAGCGGTTATGTGATCGCTGAGGTCTCACCCTTATAATCGGTAAAGGACAGATGCAGCATCGGAGTGATGCTGCATCAACCTAGGTAAGTATAACTTACTTTCTCGTCTACTTCTCTTTTAAAAATGTTACATTCACCCAGCAAAAGGCAACAAATAAAAAACAACATTACACACATATTAAAACCATTGGAGGCATTATTTGTGAGTTTTGCACAAATGCTTAGATATTTGCAATTTGTTCTTTGTAAATCTGTTGTGAAGTTTTGTACCTGGGTATTCTCTCAGTAACAGCACTTCCTGTTTTAGGCTGACAACACTAAACCGCTGCCTCGCAATTAGCAGCATTGTCATCCTGCCTTGTGAGTTCCTTCATGCGGTTGCAAATGCTATTTTTTTTCTTGCTAAAATAATAAACATGGTCTACTTATCTGCTCTGTGTAATAGTATAGTACAGTAACCTCCTTTTCTCGGGTCCCCCCGCTAGCTCTCCTCCTCTTCTGTGTGCCCTCACAGCAAGCTGTGTGTTATGGGAGCACTTATGCAGACTGCTCCCTAGCCTTGCTGTGTGCGTCCATAGACACACACAGTTCGGCTCAGCCCCACCCTCCTGCTTCCTTTTCACAGGACTTGATTGGCAGGAGCCAGTGGCTCCCGCTGCTGCATCTGTGTACTGTGAACAGAGGAAGAAGGGAGAGCGATGCTGCAAACAGGCACAGCACTGGATCGAGATAGGGTACGTATATAGATAGTGAGGGGCGATACAACTACTGGGCCATTTTTTACCTTAATGTGGGAATGCATTAAGATAAAAAAATATCTTGTCTTTAGAATTACTTTCAGTTGGCCATTGGGCTGCCTATCTGATAGACCTGATAAACAACCCAATACCCAACTGAAGGCGTGCAATGGCAGACTGACAACGCTGCTGTTATTATTTTATTTATTTCAGGTACTTACAGTACCGTCAGTTTACGCAACGCTTTACATATATTATTATTTTATTATATATTATTATTATACAGGATTTATATAGCACCAACAGTTTTCTCAGCGCTTTACAATATAACGGGAGACAATACAGCAACAATACAGTTCAATACAAGAGGGAAAAGAGGTCCCTGCTCCTTGGAGCTTACAATCTTGGAGATATTGTACATTCACATCAGTCCTCAAGGGGCGTACAATCTAAGATCCCTAATGTACATTCATACATACACATACTAGGACCAATTAGATGGGAGCCAATTCACCTACCAGCATGTCTTTGGAGTGTGGGAGGAAACCAGAGTACCTGGGGGAAACCCACGCAGGCACAGGGAGAACATGCAAACTCCAGGCAGGGGATACTGTGGTTGAGATTCGAACCAATGACCCAAGTACCGCCAGGCAGAAGTGCTAACCACTTATCCACTGTGCTGCTCCATAAGTCTAGCTTTGCAGTCTGCAACAGGAAGTGATGTTACTGGCAGGTTCTTCTGGTAAGAAATTTTGCAACAATTAAAAAAAAAAAAAAAAAAAGACATAAATAATAATTTGCTTAAGAAAACCATATACCATGAGATATGACACCAAACATACTGATAAATAGATTATGAGTATACATTCATTGTACGGAAACTACAGGTTTACATGGCCTATCAATGGATTTGCATAAATGTAGGTGAGGAGGACAACTGTCACGGTACTACACAGAGGCCTGCTGCTTTCATCATCTGTAACTGCTAGAAGAAGCAGTTTCCTAACATGAAGCAATTTCTGTAATGCAGTAACATTGCATAATGTGCTCTGCAGTGAGCGCTGTTACAGTTTTCATTACCACCTAAAAGCTCAGCGTAGATAAATATAGCAACAGTACCACCTGCAGTATGTCATGCTGTGCTGCAACTCATTTACCCAAGTGTCTGAGTTTCATTTACAGCTTTGTAGGAACGCTGTCAGGACCATTGCTATCTGTCAAAGCCAAGGCTCTTATCCAGAGCCGCAGGCAGCTGCCGTCCAATCTCAGAAAGCAGAGCTGGGGCTCCGCACACCTCTGCAGCATTGTACTGCCATCTATGTATCTACTCTTGCCAAATAATTCAGTTGTTTATTAAAACATAGGAGGTCCAATTCCAACTTGTGGATGTCATAGGAAATTCTAGTTATCTATGAACAGTAAGAGGACAGAAAAAACAAATGTGTTTGTGTCCTTGACATATGGGATTACATTTCCTATGCCAAAAGATGTATTGTGACATACAGTGGGGCAAAAAAGTATTTAGTCAGCCAACAATTGTGCAAGTTCTCCCACTTAAAAAGATGAGAGAGGCCTGTAATTGGCATCATAGGTAGACCTCAACTATGAGAGACAAAATGAGAAAACAAATCCAGACAATCACATTGGCTGATTTGGAAAGAATTTATTTGCAAATTATGGTGGAAAATAAGTATTTGGTCAATATCAAAAGTTCATCTCAATACTTTGTTATATATCCTTTGTTGTCAATGACAGAGGTCAAACGTTTCCTGTAAGTCTTCACAAGGTTGGCACACACTGTTGCTGGTATGTTGGCCCATCCTCCATGCAGATCTCCTCTAGAGCAGTGATGTTTTGGGGCTGTCGCTGGGCAATACGGACTTTCAACTCCCTCCAAAAGTTTTCTATGGGGTTGAGATCTGGAGACTGGCTAGGCCACTCCAGGACCTTGAAATGCTTCTTACGAAGCCACTCCTTCCTTGCCCGGGCGGTATGTTTTTGGGATCATTGTCATGTTGGAAGACCCAGCCACGTTTCAATGCCCTTGCTGATGGAAGGAGGTTTGCACTCAAAATCTCACGATACATGGCCCTATTCATTCTGTCCTGTACATGGATCAGTCGTCCTGGTCCCTTTGCGGAGAAACAGCACCAAAGCATGATGTTGCCACCCCCATGTTTCTCAGTAGGTATGGTGTTCTTTGGATGCAACTCAGCATTCTCTCTCCTCCAAACATGACGAGTTGTGTTTCTACCAAACAGTTCTATTTTGGCTTCATCTGACCATATGACATTCTCCCAATCCTCTTCTGGATCATCCAAATGCTCTCTAGCAAACTTCAGACGGGCCCGGACATGTACTGGCTTAAGCAGGGGGACACGTCTGGCACTGCAGGATCTGAGTCCCTGGCGGCGTAGTGTGTTACTGATGGTAGCCTTTGTTACGTTGGTCCCAGCTCTCTGCAGGTCATTCACTAGGTCCTCCCGTGTGGTCCTGGGATTTTTGCTCACCTTTCTTGTGATCATTTTGACCCCACGGGGTGAGATCTTGCGTGGAGCCCCAGATCGAGGGAGATTATCAGTGGTCTTGTATGTCTTCCATTTTCTAATTATTGCTCCCACAGTTGATTTGTTCACACCAAGCTGCTTGCCTATTGCAGATTCAGTCTTCCCAGACTGGTGCAGGTCTACAATTTTGTTTCTGGTGTCCTTCGACAGCTCTTTGGTCTTTGCCATAGTGGAGTTTGGAGTGTGACTGTTTGAGGTTGTGGACAGGTGTCTTTTATACTGATAACAAGTTCAAACAGGTGCCATTGATACAGGTAATAAGTGCAGGACAGAGGAGCCTCTTAAAGAAGAAGGTACAGGTCTGTGAGAGCCAGAAATCTTGCTTGTTTGTAGGTGACCAAATACTTGAATATACAGAGAGTAGAAGCAGAGACAGCAGTATGTGTTGAGATTAGCTTAGGTGTGAGTTGCTCATTAACATTTCTTTTGTTTCCAAGGATGGGAAAGGTGTCTGGTGGAGTGAGTCATTAAGGCCACCTGGCAGGGGGTCTTCATGAGGAATTTGAGGTGTGAATGTGCATTAACATATCTTTTGTTTCCAAGGGTGGGAGAGGTCTGAGGTGTGAATTGGTCATTACAATGTGTGACAAGCTTGTTAGGAAAATCCTGTGTTCAGTGTTTTGTCCATCTGAGTACCTTGAAAATGCTTTGCATGCATTTTTCATGATGAAAAAAGGCTCTGGACAGCATCGGGAACTGGAAGAGTTAAAAAATTTTCAAAAGCGAACACTTATAAACGCGATTTGCCGCATTTACAAGCATTTTGCATTTAAAACGCTGATAAGTCGACTGCTGTACGCAAGTTTTCTGGGTTCAAAAATACGACTGTAAACTCAAATGCCTGTAAACGACTGTAAACAAAGATGTGTACATGGACACATAGGAAAACATTAGGGAGAGTTCAGGGGCTGCTGAAAAAAAACGCTGAACAGCTCCTAAACGTGAGTTTATCAGCTGAAGTGCACATGAGCGCTTAGAGATGAACTTTCAGAATAGGGGTTTTCCCTGGTGCGGATGTGGTAAAAATTGACAAAACTGTATGATACATATGCAAATGGGAAATACAATGGCTTTTCAGTTGGCTTGCTTAATGCTTATTAACACACAAGAAAACACTATAGGTGTATTTATAAAAAAAAAGTTTGCAAAGCTGTTCATCCATGCAAACTTCATGCAAATTAATTCTGTGTGAATGGGGCAAAACCGATTGTTCTCAAACCAAACTCTCTGCAATTGTTGCAAATGCAGCATTATTTTAGCACCACCTAGTGGTCATAATGCAGTATTTTCCACAAACAGTATTTTCCACAATCATATGCAATTTCTTTTATAAATACGCCCATAAGCTGTGCGGCAAACATGCCAAGCAGTCACACAGGACAGAAATGGCTTTCAACTTAAAGCAGAGCTCAACCCAAAAGGGGAAGTTCCGCTTTTAAGGACTGCTCACCCGCTCCCCATTAAGGATTGGCACCTTTGGGGGGTGGGGGGGAAGCGGGTACCCAAATTTGACAGATACCTGCTCCCACTTCCGATCCGATAACCTAGGCGATCGGAAATGGAAGGTGTCCTCCCTCCCTCCCTGTAGTCTTTTGGGACATGTAACAGGTGCCAGAAGACTACAGGACCATTCATGAAGCTCAGCACTACTCGCGCATGTACAGTGGGTACCCGGCTGTGAAGCCGCAAGCTATCACATCCACATGCCCACAGTGAAGATGCCGGTCACCAGGAACACAGGACGGCCTGTGAAACGGGCTGCTGGGCACCGAGGGACAGGTAAGTGGCTGTTTTTTAAAAAGTCAGCAGCTACAGTTTTTGTAGCTGCTGGCTTTTATTTTTTGACAGGGTGAGTGGAACGCCACTTTAAATTTAACATTTCCTACTTAAATTTACTTATGTAATATTCATGCGTTTTTTTGCAGGAAAACCGAAAATGTGAACTGGCCCTTATTGATAAGGGGATTTTTAAAAATATTTGTAATGCTAAAATACAGATGGTAAGGTTGATGAGAGGAGGCATTTTTGATAAAGGGGAACTATGGCTAAAGCCTTTTTTATACTTTTCCTATGGATCACAGGAGTGCAGTTCAAAAGCCTGCTGTCGGCTGACGTCCCTTAGCTGGTCCAGGCTCTGGAAAGATCCTGACCATATAGTCGAGATCCGCCCAGAAGCCTGAGTGGCAGCTGGCTCAGCCTCTCTGCATGCCGCTGAGTGTCTGAGCAAGCTGCTCCCGCCCCCTCCACAGTCTGGCACTCCAGTGAGCACTGGAGGGGCAGAACGGAGTGCCAGTGATGTACAGTCACTGGTTCTCTGCTCCCTGAAGACTGAGAACCAAGCAGTCAGCGGTCTTTGATTGTTTAGTTCTCAGTCTTAGAAGCAGCTGGGGACAGATGCGGCATTGATCCGCTGCTGCATCCACCAAGGTGAGTATCATTTTTTTTTTTTTACAAAACCCCATACTTTTATTTTAGGTGTGTTCTTATTTTAAATAAAACAATATTAAATGCTATAGAATAAGAGGCAATTAATTTTGGGAAGTTCCACGATCCCATGCCCCCAAATGAGAGGATAGGAGCTGGAGGATTCCCTGAGTGAGCAGCTGTTAAAGAGTTCCATGGCATCCCTGTGATTTCAGAAGGCCACCAAAAAACACTACTATTCAAAGCTAAACAAAATTTGGCTTTAAATACATGATAACAGAGTAAACACAGAAGAAAAGATGATATGGGAACAAATTGAGGAATGTCTTAAATGTTTTAATAGGCATAACAATTTATAAAGAAAATGTACATTCAGGTTTAAGTTGATATATGTAAACCCTATGGGAAGAACTCTTTTACAAGTAAGGTAACATTGTTGTTACAGTGGGTTGTACAGTAATTCCAACTATTTCAATCATCTAAGTGATTGTGTCTCCTCCAGACAACAGTGTTTATTGTATTGTGACCTAACTGTTAATCTGGCTGCACCCATTAGAGCCGAATTCTAGGTATGGCAATTTTTACATTGGTTACGCTTGGATCAATGTAAATATTAATGTACATATTTTGAGGCTATACCTTGCTTGGCACTGGCGTCATTCAGGGAACACGCTACATTTTCTCATGCGTGAACACAAAGCGTTCTCTGATTGGGCGAGGTGAAGAGACAAGGTGGTGGCATCACAACCTCCAACTCATCCAGTCAGAGAGTACTTTGCATTCATTGGGTGTTCTTTCATCAAGTCTTCAGTAAGCAGCAGGGCAGCTTCTCAGCATGAGACCTTGAAGCTAACTAAAATCACTGTAGTAGCGATATCTAGGCTTACTACGCAAATATTAAAAAAAAAACTGCCATATCTTCTTCAAATACCACTTCAGTGTATGTTTTTTTCCAGGTCGCTTTTTGAAATCTTTTGAAGTAATTAGTGTATTTCTTTGTAAATGTTTCTACTACACTCCTGTGCTCCTACAAGGATGCAGGTAGTTATGCCCTTGTAGTGGTACTGAGGAAACTATTTAATCAACACTGTTCTACTTTTTACATTTTGGGTTTTTGTTTGATGAAGAAAAGGTCATTGACAAGACATGCTTTCTCCTTGTTTTAGGTCCTAGCAGGAGGTTTAAACGGGTTGTGGAAACAATTCAGACTCAGCTCTTGAGTTCACATGAACAACCGTCTGTATTGCAGCTATCAGGTGAGAATCTGCTAATGGGGTAAAAAGAAATATATTATTAAAGGGTCAATCCAGACAACCCAGTATTTAGGTATAAATGAATGTTGGTAGGTTGATTCACCCAGTGGCTCCTTATAGTGCTTATTGAATCCAACACAGAGGCTCATTAGTACTGCTGAAATTGGAGTTGTCTCAATCTTCCTATTGTATTTTCCATTCTGCAAAGCAAAGGAGAATTCTGTCTACGGAGATGCCGAAGGCCAAATCCACTGGCAGACAAACTTCTCTCCCAAACTTAAGTCTATAAAGGGAATATCCAATTGCATTGTTCTCAGTACTGTTGCAGGCATGCACCACAGTGGAGATGTGTCTGCTCCAATGCTGTTTTCTTTCCGAAATAAGGGTTCATAACATGTCACAGAGGGTACAATTACACCTCACTAGTTGTGGATCCCCTTGAGGGATCCACAGCTGTTTCAAACAGCTCTTGGTCTTGAAATCTCTTACTTAATCAGAATGGAATCTCTGGGGTAGTTCATAGTGAAGAAAGAAATTTTCCACCAATACTTTGGTGACTATAGCAACTCGTTGATCTCTATTTGGAAAAGCTGGGGCATAACAATTGAAATGTCGGGATCAATACTCAGGAAATCAAAGCAAACCAAATCCAAGGGACCTTGACTCTGGTGATGGCTCATTGGCACAGCTCTGGAGGGCAGATTCTTCCTCTGGATGCAGCATAGGCAGGAGTAACAATACTGTAGTTCTTGACTTTGGTTCTCATATACACGGCCAGTAGAATCGATCTCTAACTTGAGCATTCTTTTAGGTTCAAAGTGTACATGTTCATCATGTTACACATTGAGCACTGTTCCCCTATGTTTTTCAGGGAGGAACAGTTACCATCTTTCTTCGGGTTTATCCCAGGGGCCCCTTTGGTAGACCACCCTGTCTAGCAGCTATAAACAATCCCACTCTTTTTGGACAAGTTGAGCCTCCTTCAAAGAATCTGAGGATAGTAGAAGCTCTGGGCCACTCTTCAAGGCTTTCAAAGCCATACAGCAGTCAGGATCTTCTGTTTGTTCTTTCTTCACGTTTTTCTTGGAGAAAGTAGGTAGATCCTCATTCCTAACCTGAGTCAAGTTGCAGTAGAGCTTTGGAATACATGGCCAGTAGAAACAATCTCTAACTAACTTGATTGTTCTGTAAGGTCCCAAATGTCCATGTTCATCGTGTAACACATTTATCTGAGGGACCTCTTCGGTAGACCACCCTGTCCAGCAACTGTAAACGATTTCACTCTTTGTAGACTAGTCGTGTCTCCTTCGGAGAATCTGTGGCTAGTAGAAGCTTCGGGTGACCACACTCCAAGGCTTTCAAATTCAAACAGCAGAATCGTCTGCTTGTGCTTTCCTCAAGTTTTTCTTGCAGAGAGTAGAGCTTTGTGATACCAGCAGTGGTGAATTATGGCTTTGGCCAGTGTTGCCCCTCTGGCTCTGTACTTGATTCCTTGACACAAAGCGTCAAACTCCTGAATTAATTTGAGTCCACTCTTCCTTAAGAGTCATACAGTCTTCTTGACAGGGCATCAGCATCCCTATTCCCAACTCCAGTGCAGTTTTTCAAACTGAAATGGAACCCAGACAGTGCCATTAACCATTGATGATCCATGACATTCAGTTTGGTTGTGGTTAAAAATATACAATCTGTCTTAACCTCAGATTCTGCCCTGTTTCAGTTTGTCCACAACAGCCCACTTCAAAGCTAAAAACTCTGGGTAGAGTCGTTTTTGTCATACGAGGTAATGTTTCAGTGCTTGTAAGCCACAAGTCTCAGATGTCCATCATATTCTTGATGCAACGCACCACCCAGTCCTTCTCTGCTTTTCTGCTGGTGTCAACTTGCAGCTCATGGGGCTTGGTAGCGTCAGCATATGCCAAAACTAGTGCTTTGGTCAAACTCCATTGCAACTAAAGAAAGGCCTGTTTACATTTGTCGAACCATTCCCCCTCTATGGAATCTTGGGACTTTCTTGACCCCTTCGCTTGTTGAGCTCTTTCAGAGGTCTCTTGCTTTTCTTCATCTGTGTCAGCCTGTAGTAACTCTGTGAGGGGTTGGGCTATTTTTGTGAACCCAATCCAAAGGCACACGTTCCTGCGTTAGGAATGGCTGTGTGTATAAGTGGGTGCTGCAGCGACCATCGGCTGGAACCAAACAGAATCAACAAGGGAGAATGTTACCAGCACACCAAGGATCACCAATATGGGTCCAAAAGGTCTAATAAATGATTACATAGTTACAGCAAGGCAAATTTTCGGAGTCTCGCAGGACCCCTTCACCGTCACATGCCTGGTGAAGGGGTCCTGCGAGACTCCGAAATGTTGCCTTGCTGTAGCTATGTAAATCGCAGTTTATTCACATTTCCTGGCCTGGACCAAGTGGTGACAGTTTCCAACTTCTTAGGGTCAGTGGCCACTTTCTCAGTGGAGACAACATGCCCAAGGTAGGTGACCGATGGCTGATAGAACTGGCACTTCTCAAGAGACCATTTCAATCCTTCCTCCTAGGGTCACTTCAAAAATGTCTCCAAACACTCCACATGCTCTTTTAACGACTATTGTGTTATTTTCTCCCAGTCACCAGGGTGGATGAGAATCTGATGGCACTTGCTTCTTAGGTCCAGCACGCCAACCCATCCAGTTTCTGACACTGCAGTGGAGGAGTTGTACTGGTCTGAGATGTTTTTTTTTTGTTGAGGGTGCGAGTCAGTGCATATTCTCTTTGTTCCATTTTTCTTCCTGACAACCACAAGGGGAGAAGCATAGAGAAGTCTGGATTCCTGTATGACTCCCGTTCTCTTCAACTCTACAATCTGTTCTCTGAGGGCATTAAGGTCTACTAAGGAGATTTGCAGAGACCTTTCTCAGAGTTGTTTCTACTCTTGCAAATGAATGTGATGCTGAACTCTCTTTGTTCATCCCATGTCAAACTTGTTTTTGGAGAACACTTTCCGCCAATTCAGAAGTTGTGCTTTGGCCTGTTCTTTTCATCCAGGCATCGAAGGGGAGTTGTTTGGATATAAATGGTTCTCTGATAACTCTTCTGTGGCTCCCTCTCCCAAGTCATGTGGTGTGAGGGGTGTAGAAGGGTTCACTTGTCTTTTCATTCAAGCCTGAAGCTTTGCTGGAGAATCAGTAATAATGCGTACACTAAGAGGAACTCCCCCATGGGTTCTCCATACAGCCTTCATCAAAACTACTTCTGGGATTAATTCCAAACTCAAATTTTGCTCTGTGGATCACCCTCAAGAATAACTATAAGGACCTGGTTGATCCCAATTCAGTTTGTGCATGGCAGCCAATCAGCTTCTAACTTCAGTTTGTTCATTTAATCTTTGACAATGAAACCTGGAAGCTGATTGGTTTGTATGCAGAGCTGCACAAGATTTTGCACGCTTTAGTTTTAGTAAATCTCCCCTATTACCTCACCTGGCTGCAAGACCTTTTCCATTTTGTCCAACGTCCGTAGCTTTTTCACTCCTTCAGCTGGGGCCTTCTGCTCTTGAACCAGATTCTGGGACACTGTCCGCAACATAGTATGTACACTTTCAGTAGTTAGCCAAACTGAACTGCATTTCCTAGAAACAGTATATAAAGACAACTCTATCTTTCTGTAACAGTTCCCGTTTTATCCCACTGGTCAGCGATTGATGGGGAAAAAACATTGGCCAGCAAAGTTGGGGCCCTTGAAGAAAGCACAACAGTTCCCAGCAGGCAACAGATTAAATTGTATGATGTTTGTCTCTTACCAGTCCCAGGGCATCCTCTTCTGGGTCTCTGGACATGTGCTTCAATTTAGTAAAAGTCCAGTTCAAACTGCAGAAGGATAATACTTCAAAAACAAAGGAAGAAGTTTTACAGCAGTTATCAGCTACAGTCTAGGGTACATAGGGTTTAAAAAGAAATTGCATTGAAGCAATCCTGTGACGTGACTTTGCCTTCACTAATCTTGGCTGAATCTATTCTACTAAGTTGCAAAAGTATATATTGTGGTTTAAGAAATTACTATAAATGACTTGAATTGATAAATTTGCATAAAATATTATCACACTGTCACATAGAAGAAATACTAGCAAGTACTGTATATGCTGAGACATCATGTAGTGGGCATTGGGTAGTCAGTATTTAAGGTGATGGATGCATTAATTGGAGGAGAGTGAGTTGAGTTGCTGTGTGAATATTCCTCATTATACTGCTATCACCAAGCACTTTTAGGCCCTGCCATCCTACAACTCTCTTTACCTGCATTGAGGTGCCCCTGTCACGTTACAGCAAACAGTATGCTACAAAGGAAGAGTATATGAGAGAGGCACTGTCCCTACCCTCTATTTTTGGAGTTTAAAAGGGAATTTTTGAGGAGTTATGTTAAATCGACTATCACAGCCTACTCAGTTTTCCGTATACAAGTATGCTATTCCACATCATATAATGCCATGATTTATGGTGGTTGGGTATTAGGAGAATGTTGTTCTCCTCAAAGATGTTCTGAGGTGCTGAATAACAGTTGGTAATAATACTAGGCAAAAAGTATGAAGATATAATACTTGCCGGGAAGAGTGGGCAGGTAACAGTTCTCGCACAGTTCCCGATTCAATTTGACAGCCAACAGGTTTTTGTTTCCTTTGTTTTGGTGATCCATGAGAATTACCAATAATTCAGAACAATATTTTTTGTAGGAGGGTCATAGGGATGTTAGCCCCCACTCCAATGGCATGTGAAACATAAATAATTTAAGCAGCATAAATCAGGGTACAGTCCAGTCTTTGCAGTGGAAAGAAGGATTGGCTAACCTTAAACCTTAGAAAACCTGCATGGACCACACTGAATTTCTTGCTACTCAGTGTTTTTTTTTCTCCCAATGGGAATCCTTGCAAGGCCACTGAATTTGAAGGGTATCCTCCTTCGTGTCCCTTGTTTCCCACTCAGAGACATAGTCAGGAAGTTACTGTTCACATTATTCTTTTTATTACTGTGTACCCACCTATACTCCATGGGTTCCCACCTCCCTCTTCTGGAAAGCCACAATCTTTGCTTGCATCTGCCCCACTATACTTTTCATCAAAAAGAGATGATGTGGAACCAAAAAAAACCTAAAGCCCAACTGAAGTCTCAACCCCGTCCTCTTTTTTTTTTTCTTTGTAGTCCTGTACTACCGTAGGTTATTATTTTTAGCTGATTCTCTCATGGATATGCCCTAAAACTGATTTTTCTCTTGGTGGAAATAAACATCCTGGCTGCCCACGCCATCGTGCTCTCTGCTAGCATAGATGCGTAATGATCACATTCCTTATTACAAGAGGTAACTCACTAGTAGTGTTGAGGAATAGTGGGGGGTGTGACAAGCTCAGGTTAAATTACAAAGTGCTCTGCACAGAGCAGGTCATTAGAATGCCTGTTACATTGCCCAGTTATATTAGGACACACTGTGTTACTGTTGTAACATGAAAGAGGAGGAAGGACTAGGAAATGGAGGTTGTATACACAATGTCCTTCACTGAATATATATTTCTGTGACTTCACTTGGGCTTTAAAGGGGCAGGAAACCATGACCTCTCCCACCATCTTTACCCTACTACAAAGGCACATAGGTATTGAGTCAGCCTACAACATGACTCCTACAAAAAGACATCAAATTGTCAAACCCCAAAGAGAGTGCCTACCTCTCCCTCCTTCCTTCTTCTAGCATTATGCTTATTACTAAAACACAGGGGAACTTTATGTGTTGGAAACTTTTATGAAAAGTCTTCTAAACCATGGCAGTGATACTTGAAAGTGGTGGCACATCACACTGAAAAAGTCACATAACTCACTTCCACTAAATGCTGTTTAGTGGAGTTACTATTTTGTACCGTTAGACATCTGGTTAGAGAAGCTAATTTTTCATTTCACATAGACAATCACTGCCTTAAAACAGTCAAGCTGAAGGTTGGGTTCACACTTACCTGCTGGGGTGTGCTGCATTAACACAAGTTCTGCATTAGGCATTCCATTCAAAATGAGTGGGCTGGCAATACACCTCAACATCCTAGAAAACAGACATGCCTGCAAAGTTAGTGCATTGCACTGCACTTCACTGCATGTGTAGAGACAAGGTTGGTGTGTAATTTAGAATGAATGGCACTGCAATGAACCAATGCAAGTGATGTGCTAATGCACACATTCCTACAATGCAAAAGTATGAACCGAGCCTTAGGGTCCTGCTATTCTTTAAGATGAAAAAAAAAAAAGATTTTGAAGAGCAGGGCAACTGTTGTTTCCAAGGAAATAAAAATCTCTGGTATGGTCCAGAAAAGTCACATATGAGTTAAACTGCTAAATTTCATAGTAGTAATAGAACAACACTGCTGTGTAGCCTTAAGACTAGCATATCTGAATGCCTTTCACTTTATGCAGTGATGCTGCTTATAGAATTTCATGGCTTAATTGTCACCACCTTCAAAGTCTCACCTATAGTGGAGGAGGTAGGAAGGGATGGAGCCAGGATATGAACTTGAGGCAAACAGGCTGACACTGTTAGTGTTTCCATCTGAAAAAAGCTTGTTCCATGGCTTTCATGCTTCACTTCTTTCTTAGTCACTGTCCAAAAACAAGAATGCAGAATAGGAGGTCTGACTTTTGTTTGACTTCATTTGCTACATGAATGTTGTGGATTAGTGACTCAAAAGGTATCGAAGCCAGAAAGAGCCAGGTAACCAGCATTTACAGAAAGAGATGAATTGCTTACATCTTTCACTGCAAGCTTTCTTTAAGACTTTCCTGTGTTTGTCAGTTAGCTAATGAACAAAAGATACCATGTGAATATGTGCTGCCTACCATATTCTCTTTGTTGCTCCTAGCAAACAGTCAGAATCATACTTTATATCAGACAAGAAAAGAATCTCATTGGTTCATCTAGGTAGTACAGGGGATGAATTGCATAAAAAGATGAAACTTTATTGGTTGCTGGAGGTAACTTTTACTCCATTTTTCTTTGCTCTAGTTTTCTGTAAATACGCCAACTGCCCAAGACTATTTATCTTTTTGACACATTGATAAATGTTGCCTTAATTCCATGGTTGCCAACTGTCTTTAAATTCCAGGGATGGTTCTAAGTTTGAAATATCCGTCCATGTAAGTCCATGATTAGATAGAGCTTACTCACACTATGCTCTGCAGTGACACAGGTGTTTTTGTGTGCTAAGGCTTGCTACCATAAGGCACTTCATCCCTTTTGAGTGGGCTGGAAATGCACCTAAAAAAAAAACACCTGCACCGTTTTTTTTTCAGTGCAGTACACCACAATGCACAGCTTGAAAATAGACTTAAATAACCCAATCATGTGAAAATCAAATTCCCATTTATTTATTTCATCTGCAAATTATTAGGTATTCAAAGTGAATAAAGCTACAGTCTATTGCGTGGAGAATCTCAACTCAACTTTAGTAAATCAACCTCAGGCCGTATTGTGAATGCAGATGTAGTGCACTCTTCTACAGAAGACTTTGTAAGTTCTATATAGATACACACATTAGGTTGCCCTGCAGCTGTGTCCTTAATACAGGTTAATTATCTCTAAACTAATCCAAGGCAAATGCAATGCATTAGTAGTGTGAACACAATCTTTATTCTTCAGCTCCTAGAAATGTCCCAAAGTTTCCAGAAAAACAAACCATACCATACATTCAATTCAATTCTTATAATACTTATTGTTATTTGAGCTTTGAGCCTTGACTTAATATAGCATTGCATAATTAAAAAAAAAAATTAAACGTTTAGTTAGAGGAAGAGCCTGATGTACTAGCCTCAGGTGTCTTATAAGTTTTGTATTTTATAAATTGATATATCCCTGCCATAATTCATGTTCCTATCTACCTGGGCATTTATGTGTTCCTGCCCAACTTTGATGGTTCCTACTCTTCCTGTTGCATTCTCCATAATAGGAATAAGCTCAGGTCTGTTCGGATCCTAGTTGAATCCACATAAGTGAGCCCACCAGGAAGCTGTCACCGTACTGGGACAGTCATTTGCATCCAGGGCATTCCCTGCCCCACAACCACATATATACAAGGGGCATGTATATGTGGGGCGAGGAATGCCTTGGTCACTTATGATTGACTAGTACAGGTGACAACTTCCTGGCGGGCTCACTCAGGTGGGTTTTGGACTAGATTCCAAACATTTCCGAGCTCATCTCTCTTATCTTTAAGCTAAAACAAATAAACAAATAAATCTAGCAGGGAGAGCAGAACACTCTGTTATGGCCACAGCAGATGTGCAGATACAGGAACTCAAATTCAAATGCCAAGAATCAATAAAAAAAAAATCTGTCAGATGGTTTAATTCTCCATTATCTCCCAAAAAATATGAATTTTGAGTGTAATGACCCTTTAAAATTTTCCATTTGTGTTTGCAAGGCCTATGGTTCACCAAAGCAGTGTTGTCACGCAACAGTAACTTAGCAATAGTGACCCTAGAAGTTGAACATTGTTGGCAGCTATGTAATTCCAATGTAAAGTGTGCTCTTCCTAACCTTCACTGGCTGACTTGGAGACTCTAATCCATCTCACATTTTCATTGCCATAACATTAATAGTTTCTTCCTAGCGTTTTATTTTAAAATTCCAATGTCTCAACAAAAGAGACACCATTACCTAACAGTAGACTGCCAAGAGAATAACCTTACACGATTTGTAGGCAAACATTTTGAGCCTTTTCATAAACATGGGTTCTTCCACACCTATACACTAAATACAGCCATGTTGTGAGTTCAATTAATATTTGGTCTGTTCTTTAACAATGAACTGTGGACGTCGCTGTTCCATGAGAGATAAAATCTAGATTACAGTGAAATTACCTGTTCTCAGTGAACATACAGACTTAAATTTCTAAAAAGTTTGAAATGCTGTTTCACTGCGTACTTGAGCCAAGTATATTGTCATGTCAACAGGTTCCCACAAAATGGTTGCTTCCACTGTATTACCTTATAAGCTTGCACTATCCACACACATAATCCAACAAGAACATGTATGGTGTAATAGAAAAGTGGAAATGTGGGGGGTGCGTTTTGTGTGGGAATGTTTGGTTCATGTCCCCCCACCCTGTTTTTCCCCTTGTGCTGTTCAGACCCCAATAACTGTATGGAGTATCTCAGTGGGAAGCTCTCAAAATGTGGTAAGGACCCTCCAGCTGTGTGCTCATACCTCTGCTGCTATTGCTATCGCTCTCCCTCTTGCTACCCACGCAGACTCCCTCGCTCATAACAATTCCTTCCCTTAGATTCCCACCCCTTCCTTAAACTAAACATGCACCAATGTAGACTGATATGCATCACTTACTATACATACATATCACTACACAAGAGGGCCTTAACCCAGCTATAGGAAAGTAGAAGAATTCTGTAGCCGCCAGTTGAAGAATGTTGCTTTGTAGGTACTGTAAATATAGAAGATGGTAGAATATTATTACACACGCTTATAAACATCTTTTTTATTCCACATACAACACTATGTAGTCCTTAAAACACAATAAAAACATAGTTACTTCTTTCTATACAACAGAGAACCCTTGAATCATCAATTGACAATTTTCAGCTGAGTTAACATACAAGTCCCCAAGTAGTAATTTATTACCTTGCAGACTGCCAAAATAGTATCTAAATACATTTACATTTGTTGGATGATTAGCACCTATTATGCATAGTTAACTATGCCTTCTTTGTTAATGCACTATAATATATAATAATATATACATAATAGATGCTAAGTTAACTATGACTTTGTGACTATATTATTGGACACCTCTTCAAATTATTGAGTTCTTATGCACAAAGTCAAGTCCATAAAGACATGGCCTCATAAGTCTGTGTCAAGAAACTCAAGTGGCCTGGACAAAGCCCTACTCTCAGTCCTACTGAACACCTTTTGAGAAGAAATGGCCCATTGATTGTGAGCCAAATCAGCCTGTCCAAAATCAGTATCCTGTCTCACAAATACCCTCTTGGCTGAATTGGCACAAATCCCACAGGCACACTCTAAGATCATCTGGAAAATTCACTGAAGAGTGGAGGCTGTTAAAGATGCCAAGAAAGGGGAGGATCTCACCTTAAAGTATATCTATCTCCAAAACCTTTGTTTTGCTTTGGATAGAGTGGAGGAGGGTTAAAACCATGTCAGTTTTTTTATCTATGTCTCATTAGGGAGATTTTCCTTAATTCTTGTTCTGTAGACTCAACAGAAAGTGTAAGGATATTTTTCCAATAAGAGTCCTTTTTGGAAGATTACCCTCTACTCTGTGACAACTGAAAATGTTGGGTTTACCCTTACTTTAAATCCCAGTGACATTTGTGATCAGTACACCTAGAAAGGGTGACTCTCCCTGATGGGGACAGATTAAGCAATACAAACTTGACAGTGGTTCTAACTTTTCCACAGGGTATCCAAATCTAAAAAAAAAATTTCCTTTAGTTATACTTTCTCCATGAATTTGGAATAGGATGTCCCAACAAGCCCACATGGTCAGTTGTCCACAATCATTGTCTATATAGTGTATATACAGTCATGAGAAAATGTTGGTGAACCTTAGGAAACATCAAAATGGTTTCAGTGTGATCAAATCTGTATTTAACTTGTCAGAACAAATAAAAACAATTTTATCTGACTAAAAACATTCACAAGATTTTTAAATTTTACATTACCATATCTGTGTTAAACAAATGGTTTTAATAATCAAGGTCATTGATGAAAAAAGTAGATGAACCTTGGGGAGAATGAGAGATTGACAAAAGAGTATTGAGAGTCAAGTATTTCAGTCAATTGGTAAAGTGTAGAATTGGCCTGGTCTGCAGTAAAAAAAAAAATTATTACCTGTTTATTTTTACAACATGATTCTACTGATGTGCATGGTCTGATTGAAAGAGATTTTGGAAGATCTCAGAAGAATTATTGAAACCCATAGGACTGGAAAAGCAGTAGTGTATTTTGGTTTTGTGCTGACCTGGGCAAGACTAAAAATAGATGCCCCCCCATCTAAATTTGCCCCACCCATTCCTGTTTAAGATCCACCCCTTCATTGTAAACACCATCCCTTCCTCTTTAGGCTCCACCTCTTCCTAATAGAGCTCTGCCTCTTCAGAGGAGGAGGTTATTGTTTAGGTTGGGGAGGTGGAGAGGGGTTTATTGTTTAGGATGGAGAGGTGGGGAGTGGGGTTATTGTTTAGGATGGAGAGGTGGGGTTATTGTTTAGGGTGGGGAAGGGGGTTATGTTTAGAGTGGAGAGGTGGGGAGGGGGTTATTGTTTAGAGTGGAGAGGTGGGGAGGGGGTTATTGTTTAGGGTGGAGAGGTGGGGAGGGGGTTATTGTTTAAGGTGGAGAGGATAGGAGAGGTATTTGGGGGTTAGGAACCCCACAGCTGCTAATCACTGCTCTGCACTACAACACCCAGTAGAACCTCCCTCCCCCTTCCAAGAAGTTCTGCAGCAGTAGACAACCAGAGAAAGTTTTCAGAACTGGTGAAAGGAGGAGTCTGGCTCAGGGCAGGACACCTTGGCACCAGAACACACTACTCACTGGACAGAGCAGAATCACCATGCAGCCACCCCAAGAGAAGGGAACAGCAGGTCGCAGAGAAGATGAGGACAGGGCAGAAGGGAATGACGCGGGGCCAGCGGAGGGGACACTGTATGCAGGGACACTTAAACCCTGCTGCAGCTGTAGCACCTGACAGTATCATCCATTTGTGCAATGTATTGTTGGAGGCCCATGTTCAGTGAACACCCTGCACCCATGGATGATACGCCGCTGGCCTGGGGGCATCACGTGCCCCCCCTGAAAAATGCTACCCAAGCAAACGCCTTGTTTGCCTCGCGGTAGATACACCCCGGGGTGTGAGGTACACTCCTGAGACAGATGACAAAGAACTTTAGTGTGGCTGCGTAGAATCTGCAGCCATATCTTATACTTTAAACCATCTGTATACATGAGTCTACAAATAGTGCTCTGTTTAGAGAATGCAAGACACCAAGTTCCAGTACAAAAGCAATATCCCAACTGTGAAGAATGGTGATATGGCATGGGAATGCTTTAGAGTCTGGAAAGCTTGCAATCACTTAAGGATCAATGAATTGCAATTTCTAATATGAGATTCTCCAGTAAAATGTCAGTGCTAGTTTGCGATCTGGAACTCAGAATGTTGGATCGCATAAACCCAAAAATGATCTTAAACACAGGAGTAAATCAACAGCTGAATAGCTCAAAGAGACCCAGGTCAGAGTTCTGACTACATTCCAAGTGAAATTCCACAATAAGGAGGCTTTTCAAGCAAGATATCCTAAGAATATATGTTTTTGATACAGGAATGAGCCAAAATATCTCCTAACTCAGCACAGCCCAGGTCTCATTAACAGCTATGGAAAGCATTTGATCAAGGATGTCACAACTAGCTGGTTAACATACTTTATCCATCAGTGACCTTGAGTGTAAAAAAAAAAATGTCTTTGACATAAACATGGTAATTTCAATGTTTTATGATGTTTTCTAAAACTAACTTTAGAAGTTACCTTTTTATGCCTTAAATAAAGATAGGATCACATTTTAAGAGTTTCCTAAAGAAATCCAGAAACTTTCATTGGCTTGATGGCCTTTTTTTCTCATAACTATAATTAGATTGGGATGCCTATCTGTCCATTTTCTTTCCTAAATTATATTCTGACATTAAATTCCCACAATTACAAACTGAAAATCAGCTGTGATGGAAAGTGGCCTCACCTTTTCTCTTACTTGTTGGTAAAGTTGCTTGCAACTTTTTGGCTTGTTTGGCTGCCATTTTTCCCAGCTTCAGCTGGTAGCAGGGGAAATCTTGTATCCAAGAAACATGAAATGCCCCGGCTCAATTTTGTTCGAGTAAAACTGCTTTCTCAGCAGATGCCTAATCTGGAAGCATTCAATTTAGTAGTCAGTAATTTTCTTCTTAAAACGTGCGGCTGTCCCACTGTGCCCACCCCGTCTCTATCTCTGTCTCTTCTCTCTTTCACCCTTCCTCATGAGGTTCTAGGTTTTCTTTTTGTGTCTTTTTATCATCCACGTCGTGTTCCCTTCTGTTTATGTTGCTCCGTCATTTTCATTCCGTTATCACCTTTCTGCTCTTACATAATGACATCCGTCTCCACCATTTTGGTCACTGTACTGGTCATGGCTTCTAGCCGTCATTTCATTTCCTTTAAAAAACACATGACAGCAGTGAGCTCCATCACATAACACATTGTCATGCAGTTTATGTAGACATAAAGTATTACTGTCTTGGCCCAGCGCTTGAAACATGAACTGAAGGCAGTCTTCCCCATAATGACTCCTTGTATAAAATTGGAGGAGAGGAAAAGTGTAAAATTATGGTGAGCGGTAGAAAAATCACACCTGGAATCTGATTGGTTGTTGTGGGTAGCAATATTCTTTTCTTTTCCTCCATTGTGTATATATGAGGATTAATGGATAATTGAATTAAGTGCTCTTTATACTTCTGCTATGGAAGCAGCAATCTGTAATACTCTCATGTTGATTGTCCTGGGCAACAAAGTCATTTCATAATCACAGGTTTTATCAACCCATGCAAATTTCACATAAATATTGCATATGGGCCTGATTATATAGTATGCAGTGGCCCAGCGTTTAGGACTTCAAACAAAATGACCCATATTTATTTATTTAAAGTGTATCTTTTGCCTGTGTCTTGTGCTGACAACTGTTTTATGCATTAAGTGGTTTCCTGTGAAAACGCTTCATCATCTAAACTTTGCTTGCACTGCAGGTAGGTTACAGGTACACTTTAGCAGAATAATATGAACTGGAACAGAAAATTAATGTTAGAGGGTTTATTCTGTCCTGAATGTTTTGATACAGCAAAGGCAGGCAATTCCATTACATATCAATATTACATACTGTATTCACTCTTACACATCGGCCATATGTGACTGCAGATTTTACTGCATTCTCAAAATATCTCAAAAGTTAGCTCATCTGAAAATAACATTCCTTTATTGTTGAGTGTGGGCCACATATATATTTTACGAACACACATGCCATTTGTATAGAAAGATGAGTTAAAACAGATGTTATAATGTATTACTCGCGAGTCCCTTCCTATCCAAATAAAAAAATAATACGCAGAACAAAGCATTTTAC